TGCAATGGTTGAGGTGGGGAGGAAGAGAGCAGTGAAGACAGCTGGAAATGTGAGAAACAGGAACTGACCTGAAAGCAGAGAAACTGCAAGGACCCCCCCATGCACTTAGGACCCCTGGGTAGTTCCCAGAGGTGCCAGCACATTAAGATAGCCTTTAGGAATGAGCCAGTCCTGACACATCCCCCTTTTCCCTTGGCATCTGGCGAGAGAGGCTACTGGACACACACACCACACCGACCCGCCTCCCTGTCTGGGCCCCCTCCAGGAGGACTGGTGGGCTCCCCCTATTGGCGGCCCTGATCACATAGCTGTTTATGCTTCTACTCGTGTAAAGGACCTTAAGCTGCTAATATTACTTATCATTTTTCCTTGTCAACTTTGTGGCCAGCCAGGATTTACACATTGCTTTTCTTTCAGACACTATACTCCTGTTAAACAAGATTGGATCTTAACAGCTGCCAGACCCTCTGCTGGTATAAAGAAATCTCACATGGCACCCTCACATGCATGATTGATGAGCCTCTTTCAGTCTGCATTATTCACAGAGTAGTTGAAGGCCACATTAACCCCCTAAAGTAGTGGCAGGACAATGTGTGTAAGTGTCATAGTGTGCAGGAAGGCTGTCCGGAATCAGGCTGAAGAAGGGGAATGCATGTGATTGGAGAAGGCGAGGACTTTCCAAACTGAGAATGTGATACAACAAAGGAGGGGAATCTGCTTATGCTGCACACATGCATTTGTATTCTGAGATGGAAAAACAGGTCATGTTTTTGTAGAATGATGGGCTCAGTGAGGATTATAAATGATGGCATTAATGTTCATTTGTTGTTAGTGCCGCAAAGACAGAACAACCAATCCACACGTACACATAGCTTTGCTTAGCTGCCACCCCTTTGTAGAAGACTGCAGCATCTATGGTTGGTTTGTGGGAAAAACTGCTGCCAACAAATATGAAAGCTGGGCACATATGATAAAACATAGGAGCGTACAGTGTGTTTGTGTACACTTACTATATTCCAGCAACTCCTACCTTGACATATGATGTCTGCTCAGCTGCTGTGGAGAGCGCAAGCTGTATCTCCTGAAGACCGACTGGACAGTATGATCGCCGGATACCTTCCAACCACAGCAGTACTGTGCCTTATAAGCTCCAGCGAGCTGACTGCACCTGGGAATTAGGACTGGCTGTACAAAAAAGTCTGTTCTGCCTTTCACATAGAAATTGGTTGGCTTTATATAGAAGGGGCTGTTTCAAGCAGAAATAAGGGATTTTGCTCAATATTGTTACCGGATCATCTGCTTTATAGCAAAAATAAGTTGGTGCAAAAAAAAAGAGAGAAAAGCAGTGGAATGGTGTATGTTTTATTTCATATTTGAAGTACTGAACAATGAACACCCAGCATAAAGCAAATCTTGTACCAAACGAAGAAATAAGAAGGCCAACTTTCTGAAAATGCTGGTTCCTGGCCCTGCTAACCCTGATCTGCATACTTTGTCTGGGGTCAATAACTCAGACTGAACTGATCCAGTGTCTGGTGTGTGCAAAGGAAGACAAACGGCTTGGCTGGTTCATAATTTATTTATTGCGATGGGCACTTTATTGTATTTGAAGAAAAATGCATAAAGTTAGCAGCTTCACTACAGCACTTACCAATGACCAGAAAGCAGTGCTTGAATTTTGGCATAATATTTCCATTTAAGAGAATATAATTTTAATTTAAGATACATTCCAGTTTCTTTAAATAACAGTAAACTGTCATTGAAAGAAAAACTAAATAGCAACTGAATGCAGTTTCTCATTTCATACAGTAAGACAAAGAACAGCACAACATATGTGTATTTTATTAATCTAATATACTAACATGAAAGAAAGGAAAAAAAAAAAGTCTTGCATAGCTACGTCTACAGACGGTTAAGGCACTTAATCGATTAAGTTCACGGTCGAAAAAGTGTTAAGAACTAACTTTTCCTTACTAACTTTTCCTTCAACTGCCTGAAGCTGCTTCTCAGTCTATACAGCGAAATGCTACCATTGTGTCACACTAGACTATCTTACATAGGTAAACTTGTATAGTTCGAGCTCCCAGCCAGAGATATCCAGCAGCTTACCATTAATACCTAAGGCCATGACCATTTCAGCCTGTGTACATCCAACTGAATTTCTTTAGGCTTCATAGCATAAACATCCTTACAGTCGCAACAAACTTCGATTAACTTGACGTCTGTGACTAGCATCTGATAATTATTATTTTGTTTTAAATGACATCCTTAAAAGCCTAATTGGCAAAGTAAAAAAAAAGAAAAAACTGCATGCTTCTCCAGACACAGAATCATTTCTAATTGTTGGGTGAGTCTGCATTATTTGTGGTTTTAAACGTTTGTAATAAATCTGCACTTCAGCTGCTGTGATAGGAGAAAATGCCATAGCAGCTGATGTGATGGGAATTTTGTGAACTAAATATGTGTGCCAATTAGCCCTTTTTAGTCCTTGGGCAGCCAAATGTATGGCATTATTTTAATGAGATGTCTGCCCGTGGTTTTATCACTGACAAAAATCAAGATTTGCTGGGAAGCAGATGCAGTCAGGCTGAATAGCACTGATTTGTAAACTTTCCCCATTAGTCCTCACTAGTTTGCCCCAAATCATAGTTACTGTCATTGTATGTTTTAAGTGACTTGAAAAATGCACTATGGCTAAATGAGCATGGTGTAGCACTGGGTTATTGATGCATTGTAGTGATATTTTTTCTGTAAATCTCATATTTCATTGCACATTTTTCTGCAGACCTGTTTATATAATACACACCACACAGGCAGGTTGTGGCACTGTTGGGAAGATGTGGCCTATGGGTAAACGTGTCCATTTTGGGTAAGTCTTTATTCCAGATGCAGTCTCCTCCCATTAAGCTTGCTCTCAGTGAAATATTTATTCATTATCCAAGTAGGTCTTCATATTGTTTGCGGAAACAGTCACCTGCTGGGAAGAAATCCCAACATCTCTCCTGATACATTTTCCAGACATAAGATTCCTGAAAGAGACATTGAATGATTTGTAAATGCATGGAAAGTAGGTAATTTCATTTTATTTTCAGTCTATTTAATGTTTGGGAACAATTTGGGAACATGAACAATGAAAGCTCTATTGCTAAAACACAGCTTGTTCAAAAACATATAATAGCACGAGATGGTAAAAGATGTCTTGGTTTGTATAGAACTATAAAATAACAATAGATGTACCACTATCCCCTTCCTCCTAGATTGTAAGCGCCAAGGAGCAGGGCCCTCTAACCCCTCGTGTATTGAATTGTACTGTCTCGTGTACTGTCTCCCATTATAATGTATAGTGCTGAGCAAACTGTTGGCGCTGTATAAATACTGTATAATAATAATAATACATTTAACACTACATTTGTATATTGATACGGTGGTCTCTATTTTTGGGACACTTGTCAATTTTTATTTGTATTTGTTTAGTCTTGATTAAATTGGCACATAAGCAGTTCAGCTGTCTTGGGGTTGTTTTTATGAACAAAAAAAAACATTGGCAACCACTTGTGTGACTTCTTTGTTGATGGACTTCTGAGAAAGTTTATTAGTATGTATATTATCAAAAATCTGTAAATTAATATTTGCTTTTAAACTACTTGCAGTTCAGTGGCTTCACTATTATTGACCTCTTATGAAAAGCCATGAGTGTAACGGAGTTAGTATTGTAACAGTAGGTGGTCTGCTTTTTTTCCCTGTGAATTTATCAAGTTGACTTCCCTAGGGGCTGGTTTGCCTCTCACAAATGTGAACCAGAATGTCAGCCTATGAATCATTTATTGCATTTTGTGGAAGCTAAACCATTAAAAAGAACTCTTTCACTTATATACTCAAAGGTACACCCACTCAGCTAGCTGAAGATGAAGTGTTCAAATAGTTGTATCAATTAAAGGGGAGCCACAGCCAAATAAATATATGTTTTAACATTAGATTATGCGTTTACAAGAAATCTGGGGTGTAACCGCTGGCCAGTACCAAACCACTAACACAAGTTTGAAAGTGGTGCTTATGAAGGACAAGCAAGGAGATCACCTGGCATGCATGTCTGCTATTCACTTCATGTTTGGTGAACTAGGTATGACTATTAAGAAAATTATTAAGAAAATTAAAACTGGAGTTACCTTATGCATTAGCCTCCCTAGCGGTCTGATTATGTCAGTATTTCTGTGCTCAAAGCGGTACATTTTTTTGCATGGAAATATGTATTTTTTTTTATTGTAGGCCTGTAATTTTTAGGAATAACTCACTGAAATCTGTCCGAACAAGAGTCTAGTAAACATACCGAGTATGTTAAAATTTGAAACACGAAATCATAAATTATAATTAATCATAAAAAATAATACATTTAATTCAATAATATAATCAAACCAAAAACACTGACATTTGAAATATAGCGCCAAGTTTGTGCATCACTGAGCAAAGTCACAAAATCGTTTTCAATGTCTGATGACAAATTTCCCCACGAATCATTATCACTCTAACTGCTTTTGACCTAAGGGACGCTTTTTGGACACCATGGACATTTCTCAGTTTCCAGGCAGAAAGAACAGTAAAAATGCAGGCAGGGCGCCGGACAAAGCAGTAGGGAAAAAATGTATGTGAAATGCTTTGATACAGTAATGTTTTACTATGTGATTTTAGTGTATTTAGTGAATGTCACTTTTTCACATTTTTAACCACTAGCATACAGGGCACTTATACCCCCTTGCTGCCCAGGCCAAATTTCAGCTTTCAGCGCTGTCACACTTTGAATGACAATTGTGCGGCGGTCATGCAACATTGTACCCATATTACATTTTTATAATTTTTTTGAGACCGAGCTTTCTTTTGGTGGTATTTTAATCACCTCTAGTGTTTTTATATTTTGCTAAACCAAAAACCACTGAAAATTTAGAAAAAAAGTTTTTTTCTTAGTTTTTGTTATAAAATTTTGTAAATAAGTGATTTTTTTCCTTCACTGATGTGCGCTAATGAGGCTGCAGTGATGGGCACTGATAGGTGGCACTGATGGTCATTGACAGGCATCACTGATGGGCACTGAAAGGCAGCACTCATATATGGCACTGATAGGCGGCACTGATAGGTGGCATGACTGGCACTGATTGACAGCACTGATAGGTAGCACTGACTGTCATTGATAGGTGGCACTGACTGGCACTGATAGGTGACACTTAAAGGCAGCTCAGATGGGCACTGATATGTGACATTGATGTGCACTGGTAGGCACTGATGGACACTGACAGGTGGCACTGCTGGGGATACACATATCATCACGGCACACTGATCATCAGTGCCCTGATGATCAGTGTACATGTCTCCTCTGAGTAATGCCGATTACTGGCTCTCCTCTCAAGCTGTCAGCGTGACAGCTGATGAGGAGAGAAATGTCGATAGCCGGCATTTCCCTATTTACATGTGATCAGCTGTGATTGGACACAGCTGATCACATGACCGAGCCGACATCTACGGCTCTTTCCGTTGATCGGTGATCCGCTGTGTCTGAGGGACACAGAGCACCACCAATCGCTGCGAGCTCCCGGAGCTGCATATGCGCTATTAGAGTGGGAGGACGTCATATGACATCCTCCCCGAGCGAGAGAACCGCCTTGCGCCCGTCATTTACTTAAATGGCGGGCGGGAGGCGGTTAAATTTCCCACCGTTCTGTCCCCGTACGTCCTAAGGTCGCAGGGAACGGAACCCAGAAGACGGATGCTGGCATCGGCCGGAGGACATTGCCGGGAACACTCCAGGGGGGACATCGCGGGAGCAAAGGACAAGGTAAGTTAAGAAAAGATCCTGGAGCAGCACTGCAAGGTATTCCCGAGTGTTGCTCGGGGTTACCGCTTGTGGTGCTGAAACTTTACCCCGAGCTACACTCGGGAATACCACCAGGGAGGTTAAGAGAGGCAAGAGGACAGCAAAGCAAAGTTATTTACTAGACCATTGTCTCTTAACCCAGCTTTTTTCAACCACGGTGACTTCAGGAATGCCTTGGCAAAATGCTTAAAAATTTCCCTAGTTGCCCAAAAACTGTATACAAGCCAGTGGGTGGATCAAGCCTTTTTTACAGGTTTTCATTTTGCAGCATTACAAACTTGGGCACTGTGTGAGCCAGCCACTGGTGTCCTAACAACTGATGACATCATTGGTTGATAAGGAGGATGCTGGGAATCAGTACAGCATCATCTTTTGCCTCTTCTCTGCCCCTCTCCATCAGCACTGGCTGATCGCATTAGGTGGGAATAATAATTCCCCTCTAATGTTGGGGTGTCCTATGTTTTGGATGATGCTGCATTATGTAAAACTATTAGTCTAGTTTTTACATTTAGAATGGGGTGCCTGGAGATTGTTCATAATTTTAAAGAGTGCCTTGACTGAAAAAAGGTTAAGAAACACACTTAAAGTGGAATTCAACCCATAACAGTTCGGTAACAAAAAATGTTCCCTTGTCTTTCTATGGGAGGTGGACACCCCACATTGATGAAGGCCATATACGTACACTATATTGCCAAAAGTATTGGGACACCTCTCAAATCATTGGATTTAGGTGTTCCAATCATCTACATGGCCACAGGTGTATAAAATTAAGCACCTAGGCACTGGACTCTAGAGCAATGGAGAAGTGTTCTCTGGAGTGACAAATCACACTTCTCTGTCTAGCAATCCAATGGACTTGTCTGGGTTTGGCGGTTGCCAGGAGAACAGTACTTGCATGACTGTATTGAGCCAAGTGTAAAGTTTAGCGGAGGGGAGATTGTGGTGTAAGGTTGCTTTTCAGGGGCTTGGCCCCTTAATTCCAGTGAAGGGAACTCTTAAGTCGTCAGCATACCATGACATTTTTATAAATTTCATGCTCCCAACTTTGTGGGAACAGTTTGAGGATGGTCCCTTCCTGTTTTAACATGGCTGCTCACCAGTGCACAAAGCAATGTCCATAAAGATATGGATGAGCAATTTGGGGTGGAGGAACTTGATTGGCCTGCACAGAGTCCTGACCTCAACCTGATGGAACACCTTTGGGATGAATTAGAGCGGATACTGCAAGCCAGGCCTTCTCATCCAACATCAGTGCCTGACCTCACAAATGCACTTCTGGAAGAATGGTCAAACATTCCCATAGACACTCCTAAAGCATGTGGACAGCCTTCTCAGAAGAGTTGAAGTTGTTAGAGCTGCAATGGGTGGGACAACTCAGTATTGAACCCTATGGACTAAGACTGGGATGCCAATAAAGTTCATGTCCGTATAAAGGCAGGCATCCCAATACTTTGGCAATATAGTGTATGAGCCACAGCTCACCATTGTATTTTGTTGAGGTTTTTGGGTTAGGTGAGTGCTCTGGTATTCTGTTTATTGTTGCCTATGGGTGGTTCCGCTCACGTCCCAAAATGTTTATCTGACACCCCCCCAACTGGGTTTTTATTTTTTTGCTATATAAAATTTAAAAAGTACTGAAAATTTGGGGGGAAAAATTTTTTTTCTTGGTTTCTCTTTTTTCATAAATTTAGGCCAAAATGAATTCTGCTAAATTTCTTTGGTAAAAATAACTCAAATCAGTGTATATTATTTAGTCTGTGTGAAAGTTATGGAGTCTACAAACTATGGTATGTACACTGCTAAACATTTAAGGAACACTTTGAAAAAACACATCAGATCTCAATGGGGGAAAATATCATGCTGGATATCTATACTGATATGGACTGGGTAATGTGTTAGGAATGTAAGGATGCCCCATCGTTTGATGGAAATGAAAAATACCAACCAACAGAGGACTGAATTGAAAGACACCCAGCAGCCTAGTCCATTTTGGTGAAATTTCATTGCAGCAACTGAGAATGGTACTCTGTAGTTTGTATGGCCCCGACATGCTTGTATGCATGCCTGACAACATTGAAGCATGCTCCTAATGAGACAACGGGTGGTGTCCTGGGGTATTTTCTCCCAGATCTGGACCAGGGCATCACTGAGCTCCTAGACAGTCTGAGGTACAACCTGGTGGTGTCAGATGGAACATGATATCCTAGAGATGTTCTATTGGATTTAGGTCAGGCGAGCGTGGGGGCCATTCAATGGTATCAATTCCTTCATCCTCCAGGAACGGCCTGCATACTCTCGCCACATGAGGCCGGGCATTGTCATGAACTACGAGGAACCCAGGACCCACTGCACCAGTGTAGGATCTGATAATGGGTCCAAGCATTTTATCCCGATACCTAATGGCAGTCAGGGTGCCATTGTCTAGCCTGTAGAGGTCTGTGCGTCCCTTCATGGATATGCCTCCCCAGACCATCACTGACCCACTACCAAACGGTCATGCTAAACGATGTTACAGAAAGCATAATGTTCTCCATGTCTTCTCCAGGGTCAGCCTATCTATTTTTTTGAGGGTATAAAATGCCAGGGCAGTACAAATAGCCACAAAAATGTCTGGAAACCAGACAGTCCAAGGTATTTAGTAAGTGGCATGGTGAGTTTTTTGAAGTTGTACATTTTTTGTCACCATTTTTTGGAAAATGAAGAAATAAAGTTTTTTTATCATTTTAATAGAATTATTAGATTCTAGTTCCCCATACGTCTATCAGTGTTGCATATAGGCATGTGCAAGGCAGGTGCAGAGGGAATATGAGATGCCACACTTCTTTTCAGCGTCAAAGTAAACAGAAAAGCAGAGAGGAGTCGTCAGCTTGCTCTGTGTGCTGCCCTGCCTGCTTCCTTCCCACAGTTGTTGTGGCTTAACTAATTTGTCCTGGCAGCTTGCTCTGGGTAATTGGGAAACTAAGTGGGGGAAGGAGTTCTGGGAGGGGGGAATTTCTGTTCTGTTTTGAAAATTGATTGGGGATGGTGATGCTGAAGTTATTGGGTGGTGATTACTGGTCATACTATAAATACTGTACATACATGACATGATAAATTTTACAGTTCTTGTGCAGGTACTTTATTTCAGTGTAAATTGTCTCCGGGTCTTTGCATTGCTTCACTGGCACACTAGTAAAAATTCTGTTCTTGGGTCCTAGTATAGAAACAATTTTCTCATTCTCCAGAATAACATGCTTAACCTTCCATTATGTAAATTATCTTGTGAGCCACTGGAGTATAAATGTATTAGTTCGCTGGTTTAACTGCCCACTCATGTACTGTGCGCTTAACTATGCTTAACCTTCCGTTTATCGACATGGGCCGGACGGGAGCGCTGCTGATGCAGATGGACGTTTCTAAACATCCCCCCGCATCCATTGCCTGTGCGCGCTCCCTGGGATTGCGTGGCACCGCAATCGGTGGTCGCTATGTCCTCCGGAACACAGATCACTGTATGGGACATCTGTGTGAGGTCCCGATCATGTGATCACTGATTGGCCAATCAATGATTACATGAACAGTAGTAAGCAATGATGTCAGGAAGTGACATCTTGTTGACTACTTGTGAAATCTGTGAATGATCACAGAGGTCACATGGTACAAGGCTATTCACAACAGCCTTGTACCATGTGACAAGCTGTGACCAATCACAGCTCGCACAGTATTTCTCAATGGCTGCTGGAATGCAGCCAGAGAGAAGAAGAAATTATTGCTTTTACACCCATAAAGGCTGTAAATGCAATCAGTGTAAAAAAAACATTAAAAAAATCTTCATCAACCCCCACAAATAGTACAGTGTCACTATGGTGACACTGTACTCCTAGGGTGACAGTATGTTAAAAAAAAGAATTGTAAAAAACATTTTTGAAAAATTTATAATTTTTGATTATAAGCTAATTTGGGTTATTTCTTTTTTCTACTAAAAAGATAGATGAATACATTTTGGCCATGATTTATGAAGAAAGATTATTTATTTGCAAAATTTTTATAAGAAAAACACTTTTTTAAAAATTTTTTGGACTTTTTCATTTATATAGCAAAGAAAAATAAAAATCCCAGTGGTGAATAAATACTACCAAAATAAAGTTTTATCTGTCTCAAAAAAATGCTAAAAATGTATATGGGTACAGTGTTGCATGACCGCGCAATTGTCATTCAAAGTGTGATAGCACTGAAAGCTGAAAATTGGCCTGGACTGGAAGGGGGTGAAATTGTCTGGACTTGAAGTGATGAAAGTGATTGTAAAAAATATTTTTCATATGGCTTTGAACAGAGCAGCCCTGTCCTCCTCTTCTTGGGTCCCCTGGCACTCCCAGCTACACCCCCCCCATAACTGCTATGGGGCGTTATTGCTTCAGTGTTGCCTCTGTGTGTCCATAGACACAAAGAGTGCCTCACCCCCCCTTCCTCCTCACTGGCTGTGATTGACACTGCTCTCATGCCTATCATTGGCTTG